TTACTAGAAGCATTCTTCCACCATAAGTTGACTTAATCGAACAGTTCCATGTGCAGAAGGAGCTTTATTTGAAACAACAAGAGTTGCAATTCTTTCTGATTCCAAAGGATCTTTTGTTACAACAGCAACAAGATTATTTCTCAAAGTGCCTTTTGTGCATTTGTGAGGCAATCCTCTGCCAATCATTGAAAAACAATATGAGCATCTCTATGAGCATTTTCTACTGTTAAAGTGTCACAGTTTTCTAATTGAACAGATCAAGCAGTCACATTGAGAGTCTTGAGTTTCTGTTCAAAGTTTTATAGTTTCAAACTTAAACAATGATGGGAGTGTGATTTCATCTCCGCTTTCCTTCCTTCTTAAACAAGAGCGACATTTTTCACATACTCCAAGTGGAACGTTGTCATCAATAAAATCAATTTTCTCTTTCAGTATAACCTGATATCTTTCTTTTAAATTTGATGTTAGCTCTCGTTAACATTTTCTAACCCAAAGAAAACAAACACTTTTCCTGCATTCAGGTGGTTTTTAGCGGTATTTGGTATTTTTGGTAAAAGTAGATGCGCTCAGTTTTGCTCTCATCAGTAAAGTAAAAACAACGTTCTTTTTCCCAGAATTCAAAAGTAGAAAATTATTCAAAAATATTCTTAATTAAATACGTTTCATATCAATTAAAACAGTTTTTACAAACTAATCATAGTTTTGGGATGTAGAAATGCTAAATAAGCAGTCATTTTACATGTTTGTACAATCAATATAATTTATGTTTGTTACTTGTATAACTTCAAGAATATATTATTTTGTTTCCTTGTTTATAATTATGTAAATAGGAAATTTTTAATGCTATAAAAATGAAAATAAGCTTTCATTTTTGCATACTTTTACAATCAATAAAGTATTTTATTAAACACAAGATGAGTTTAATATGTCTACAATACGTTTTAATATGTGTTAATACGTATATTAAACGTTTAAAACACGTTATGTGTTAACTAAGATGAAAATTCAAATTTATATATATATATATATATATATATATATATATATATATATATATATATATATATATATATATATATATATATATATATATATATATATATATATATATATATATATATATATATATATATATATATATATATATATATATATATTAAACTTTACATGAAGTACATTTAGAGTACAAAATAAGATAGTTGAAATATTTTTTACAAATTCAAAAATTAATATTTTGAGGTATATTTTTTTCACTTGTTTCTTAATATGATTGTTAAAATGGATTAAAATGGTTTAATGACATTGATTGATAAATCTTAGTTTTGCTTTGTAAAACATGTTAAAATTACGTTTGATTACGTTTTTACTTCCATTTCTGCGCCCGCATAAATTTTATATCGGAGCTGTGAAAAGGTGTATTGATCATGTATAATCATATAAATTTATTTATTTATTTTATTTCGTCATCCAGGCGCGTGTCATGGGTGCTTACAATCAACCTATCTTCCTTTTCTCTCTACACACGTCCAGTTTTTAGCCCCCTAAACCAAGACAGTGCCATACAGTATCATTAACTTCAAAATAAAATAGAGGTGTAGGACCATGAGGATCAGTACCAGAACCAATATTTTTTTAATTGTTGCCGTAATTAAAGAAGGGCCATGAAATAAATGGGTCAGATGTTTGTTTTTAAAATATAAAATAATTAGTTAAAGGTAAATAAAATTTTTGGAATGGATTGTATACATAACAGAGATAGTTTTATAATTGGTCTCAGGATTGAAAATATATGTACATATATATGTATATATAGACGCGCATACACACACATTCACACACACATATACACGCACACACACACACACATATTATAGATGTATGTATATGTGATTGAAAACCCATTTAACAAAATTATTTTTATTTAAACAATAAATAATATCATTTTTTTGTTTTGTTTTGTATAACTGTTTAATAAATGTTTTTGATTTTTTTCCGTAAGTGCACGTTTCGAAATACTCCTTTTGTAAGAGACTGTTTCAAAAGTCTTCTTTATAATGAATCATTTTCAAGTCGTTATTACGGTATTTAAACTTTGTGATTTTTCGTATAACGTTTTATGGTAGATAAAATTTTACTATTTAAATTTCATTTCAATTTTAAACTCTTTAATTAATATTTGACTGCAACTTAATTAGATATAGGATGCATGTTATCTAGGTTTTGGTGATAAACATATTTTATTACGTTCACTTTTTTTCAGGTTTTTTTTAGAGATTTTTTTATAAAAAGTAGATATTTTTTATGCTAAAATTTACTTTTAACATTCACCAGTGACTAAATCATCTATTAGGCGTGTGTTATGAAATGTGTTACCACAGCCTGACTGTATTTATTTAGATAACGTGCAAATTTTACAAACATAATGTGGCATAAATGCTGAATTTATCAAAACTTCATTTGAATAAGTAAAAAACTCTTTTAAAGACAACTTAGCCTGCACTTCTAACTTCGAGGTAAAGCTTTTGTATAGTTGTTTAAAAACTTTATGCATTATTTCATATAAACTTTTAATTTAACCCTCATACTTATTATTTTTTTTATAAACTTTATAATTTCCGAGGGTGTAAGCATAAAAGTTGTAGAGGGTTAGAGAAGATTTTATAAAAACTTTTTTATCAGAGGCCTTTTATATTACTTTAATTTCAAACTTTTTTTTACAATATTAATTCAAGATCAATCATAACAAAGTTCAAAAAAAGTTCATTAAAATTTGTCAAACAGATTAATTAGAAGTGTTACAAACTGTTAATAATCTCTCTGGCAATTGAAGTTATTGAAAAAAAACCTCAGGGGAAAGGTGCCTATGATGGCATACTTAACTTTGAAGCTTCATTATTCAGAATTCTGAAGACCAAGAACAAAAGTTTTAATATGGATACATTCTTTGTTACAAGTAGAACATTAATTGCCCTACGAGTTTTCATCATTTTTTTATTTTATTAGTTATTTTTATTTAAAAAAAAAAGCACAAGTATGCCATCATAGGCCACTACTGCTCCTATGATGTCATAGGGGAGGATGGGGCTGGTTAGTATCAAGGGTAACTTGACAATTTCATTTGACCCTAAAGTCTTCCCTCAGAAATGCCAGAAATTCTGCGTAATTTTCCTAATTAACCCTTTCGTGCTATACAGCAGCAGTGTAGAATTTCACGCATGCTAATAAATGATATTGCGTTTAATGTGTTTTTTAAACAAAAAAATTTTTTATTGAAGTAAAAATTATTTTTTACTTCACAAACAAATATGTTATTTTTATTAAAAAAAAACGTTTTTCTCAACTCGTTAATATTACAACACACTTAACTCGTCAGAATGCCATCATTGGAAGAAGTCATTATTTTCATTTAAACAAGCTGTGTCTCCGTTGTTTTTTTTTAGAAATACTTTGATAGAAAAAACTTCTAATTTTCAATGCATTGATGTTCTCACTACAAATGTAAGTTTTCAAACAAAAGTGGTAAATGTTACAGCTTTATTTTTGTGTGAGTGTGTTTTTAAATGTTTAAATTCTGAAATTTAAAGTAACTTTTTTTCTATATTGCAGCAAAGTTTTATATAGATGAATTCAAGAAAAAAATTAATTGTGAAACTTTAGTTTCTGAAGATGTGAGACATTAGGCCAGGTAAATAAAAAAAAGCAATTGCTTTTACTCAGTACTTGGTCAATTTTATGTGAATAAAAACATCAGCAGTTTTGCACAAATTATTCTCGTAAAGTTAAGCAATTTACTCAGTAATTGCTCAGTTTTACGTTAATAAAAAATCAAGGAAAATTGTTGAAATTTTTATTCACGTAAAGCTGACCAATGACTAATTAAAAGCAATTGCTTTTTTTTATTAATACGGCCTATTCCTTTTTTTTTTTTTTTTTTTACACATTTAATCTGTTTGTTCTTTGACCTCTTTTTCATTTCATCTTTCTTTGTTCTACTATCTCCCTTTCACTGCATTTTCAAAATTCGATGAAGTATCATTATATTATTATCCTCTCTTTGTAAAAATAGCTTTTTTAAATTTGTAATTAAAAAAGCTATTATCCTCTCTCTCTCAAAAAAAAGTGTTTTTTAAATTTGTAATTGTTTAAAAATGATTTTAAATCAATAAAAAAGCAGTTTACTCGAGTTATGACAATGCTACACGCTGAATTTATCAGCAAAAATTTGCTGATAAATTCAGTGTGTCGTTAACAAAAGTCAATTCAGCTTTACGCTCCACTGTAGCAAGTGGTATCACTAAAGTTACGAATCCTTCTAGACATGCAGTTAAATTTATTACAGGGACACAAATCCTCGGAGACGAGCCATCAATGTACAAAAGAAGCATTGGTAACGGACCATCAGCGTTATTCACAGAGTTCGTTATCGATTTTGTAATGTATTTTTTCTGTTAAATCAATTTTTTATCTTAATTTTTATTTACTTTGCTTTTAGAAAACGAAGTGAATGAAAAACTTATTCGCACTATTGATATGCTTGTGGATGTCATCACAAAGGATTTGTAGAGTTTGAACAACAACAACAATAACAACAACAACAGTAACAACAACAACAGTAATAATATGTTTAAAACAAATAACAAACAGTTTTTTTATTAAAACCTTAACATTGTTTCTGTCTGAACCATTCGGCTATATATAATAATATAATAATTAAAATAAATGTATTTATTATGTAGTTAAAATCGTTATACACGTGACTTAATTCCTCTGAACTTGAACCTCTCACGTGCCTTTGCAGGCAGTGCAGCTATTTATAAAATCTCTCAGCGCAAAATACTTGACGAATAAAAAGTTAAACAGTTAATTCTTTTTTCATTTCAATTCTAAAAATTGCGGTGTATTCCATAAGGTATTGCATATAATTAGTGCAAAAAAAGTTTCATCATAGCGCCTAAAATTTTACTTTCTTTAAAAAAAAAAAAAAAAAAAAAAAAACTTACTCGGCAAAATTTCAATTTTTTGGCAAATTCTTTTCAGTAAAACTTGAGTTTTGTCAAATGTTAATGACTTTGGTGAAGTATCATAGATTGATTTATTTTTCAAATTTTGTTGCGAACTATTGTGCAAATAAACATGACATTCTACCCATAATCCTCTATGAAATAAGACTTTCTTGGATTTTGAGACTTCCTCATGCCAATAATTTGTTAATAGAGCAGTGGATGTTAGTGATATTGCCAGTAAAATTAGTACAAGAGAAAGAATTCGCTGAGCGGTTACTCGAGACACTTTCATTTTAATCAGCTGCAACAACAATGTACATTTACTCTGTCATACATTTTATTATCTTTTTAATATTTTTATTTGTTTATCTCTTTTTTAGGTGAGAATAAATAAATAGTGTCAACATTTTTTTATACTAAAAAGTATATTAAATCAGTTTTTATACTAAAAACTTTTAACCTTTTGTTTATTTCAAATATAGGACACATCGTAAAAGTATATTGTATTGAAATATATAAAAACATATTAATAAAGATTTTGTATAAAAATCTTTATTCTGTTGAAATGTTTAATAAACATATCAATTATAAATTCTAGAACCATTTAAATATTTATTATCAGTTTCATTAAAAGTTTGTTAAATCAATAAGTTTCAGGTGTTTCAAAATTTTTCATAAAGGTTGAAATCGCAATATTGAAAAAAGTGAACAAAGTTTTGCTATTTAACACTTTTTGTTTTGTCGTTAAAATTATTATTGACAATTATTAATTTATTTATCAAATAATTAATTAGTTAATTTATTAACAATGATTCACTAGAACTCTTATTGATAGACAAATTCCAGCAAGTTAAAAACGCATTTAAAATTCTTTTATTTTTGGCGCTCCTTTGATTTTCGGCGCCATTCAAAGAGAAACTCAAAAGTGATGTCAAAAAACTTTTAGCTTCTTATGATTACAAGTTCTACCTTAAGTAATTAGGAAGAGGGAGGCGGGGGTTGGGGGACAGTCAATAATTTTTGTAAAAAAAAGCTCAAAATTAATAAACGGGTATGAGTTATTTTTCACCTCAGAGTAATAACTTAGAAAAAAAAATAGGTTCCATTATCAATACACAATAATACCAACGAACACTTTTATATATTACATTCTATTTTTAAAAACAGTTAAGGTATATATTTTGGGTTATCATTAGTATTTAGTTGAAATAGTTTAACACAAAATTATTATAGAAGAATTTTACAATATATTTGAGAGTACCACGTTAAATAAATATTTAAAATTTGAAAAATGTCGTAGATAAAACAATTTATCAAAACAACATAATGATCATAACAAAAAATATGATGTTAATATGACGGAAAAAAGGAGTGGAGTAAATTAGAATTAAAAAAAACTTTTCCTTACTAAATTAAATTTTTCCTTAACTGTTAAGTAATGATTAATATAGTAAATTTCATTTCATTAAAAATGATTTTTATTTAGTTAGTCTAATTTTAAATCATATTTTAAAATTAGACTAACTAAATAAAAAATGAAATAAAATAAAATATAGCAAATGTAAATCTAAAAAACATACAAGGATTTACTTCAATACTATTAATTAGCAATAAGGTCTGAAGTTAAAGTTTCAAATGGACAGTCAAACCAGGGCCGTCTAGAGGAGGTCGTAGAAGGGTGTCTAGCCCCCCTCGAATTTTACTTGTCGGTAAATTGGACACTGGATTCGGCAAAACTGGATCAATAGTTGGAAGTCGGCAAATGTCGGCCAACGACGGCTTTTTATTTTTAGATAAGTTAATCGGCAAAAAAAATTTATTGGCTTTAGTAGACGAAAAACAGATACGTCATCCCCCCTCCCCATTAAACAATAGCTATTCAGACATAAAAATTACCTATTCAGAAATAAACAAATGCTTTTCAGACATAAACAATAGGTATTCAGACATAAACAAATGCTTTTCAGACATAAACAATAGGTATTCAGGCATAAACAACAGGTATTCAGACATAAACAATAGGTATTCAGACATAAACAACAGGTATTCAGACATAAACAATAAGTATTCAGAGATAAAAAATGCTCATTTTATTATGTTATAAGAAGTAGCAAAATAGTAAAACCAAATCGTCGATTATAAAGTAGAAAACAAAATAAATAAAATCCTAATGTTTAAAAGAACGCTGACCAATACGCAATATTATCAAATTTAATACCAAAATAAATTGTTTATATACCAATGTTACATTATTTGAAAAAGTAAATTAAATTAATTTTTAATTAAAAATGAAATGAGTTTTCCAGACATAACTTTCATTGCAGAAACATTGTAGAATGATACTTCAGCAAGAATCATACCTGGGTATAACCTTTGTCGTAGAAACAGTAAGAATACCAAAGCTGTCAGAATCTGAGTTTATGTAAATGACCATAATGATTCGTATGAATTCAATTATGAAGCAAATAAAAATAAAAATTTTGAGCATTTTGTATATTTAAAATGAGCAATGAATGCGTACCATGTCTTTATAAGATAATTTGGCAAACTGTCAAAGCATAATCATTTCCATTAAGGAAAATTACAAACATTTCTCAAAAAATAAAATATATTTTGAGGTTTTAATATGTGGTGATTTCTATTTTCCATCCTGGAATAGTATATGGAATTCTAGTTTTCGGTTAGGCTCAGTACTTTGTGGTCGGCGGTGGAAAGATAAAAGGTTTTGTTGACAAAAATACAGTGAATTCGATCATCCGGTCAGTTACAAGAAATTTATGTCAATCCCAAAAAGATCTTGCCAAAAAATTCTGATGCAATTGTTTTCTTTTCAGAAAAGCACTCAAGAGCAAGAGTTTAAAGGCTTACACTAAGAAAAAAATAAAAGAAAAAACTCCGAAGCTATCAATTGGTGGAGAATTAAAAGCAGTTTTCCGAGCAAGCAAGTCAAAGCAGTTTTCCGAGCGAGCAAGTCAAAGCAGTTTTCCGAGCAATCAAGTCAAATCTGTATGAAAATATTTAATTAAGGACAAAAAAACGTATTGCAATAAGGAATTCTCACAGTTGCAATAAGGAATCCTCATGTGGTAAGTGATTTGCTCTTGTGGCCTTAAGAGTGCTCTGTTTGTCATTCAAAAGACTTGACTTCCGATTTGTAAATTATTGGATGTCTTCAGAAACATCTTTTCCATTACTTCACAAACACAGCAAAGCGTTTATTGTTTGGCCGGATTTAGAAAAGATCTACAACTACAAAAATATAATAAAGTGGTACAACCAAAAAAGCATTAAATTTGTTTTAAAATTCCAAACTGCCCAGTGTAATCTGCAAAATCTGTACAAGCTGAATACAAAATTTAAATGATACAATAAATTTAATTAAAATAATAATTTGAAATTAACTCGTTAAGTATTTCTTGATTTATTGATGTAGCAATAAATGGAGAAATACTTAACGATTTATTGCTATTGTATCGTTTAAAGTTTTTAATTAATTTAAACAAATTTCAGAGGACGCTTAGAAAGTAATATATTCCTTATGAGAGTAGAAGACAAGCTTACATTAGCCCAGCTTGCTCTCTTGGTATCAAATTTATTCCGTTAAGCCAATTTTTAAATTTAACTCTGAAAAAACAGTGGCTAAATTAACGGAATAAATTTGCCAATGTTAAAACTTACGTTGGGTCAATGAAAGCTTGCTATCTGGAAAAAGTATAAACGGCCGGAAAGTGCTTAGCCCGACCGATAATATTATTATTTTATTTGCCGTTAGTTAAAGCTATTATAAATCATCATGTTCTATTAACGTCTTGTTATATCTAAAGAACTATTTAACCAATTTAAATTAACTAATCACTATCATCAGTTAAATATAACTTGCAGACTAATTCCAAGTATTGAGCTTTTTATTTTTATTAGTAATTTTATTGTCTCTTTTAAAGATCGTTTAACTCATGCCGAGTCTCCCTTACATAAAATGAAGATTTTAAATATATCTGCTTAACGTTTATAACATCCTATGTTTTATATATAAATGTAAAACCAACAATTCCCTTCCTCTACGAAGCTAGTACTATCTTTTTAATGGAGTTGCAATTCATTTAAGAGAAAACTAAAGAAAATTGTTTTGCTTATTTCAAACGCCCTTTCAAACTTGTAATTCTTTTTTTAAAATTAAAACATTTTTTTTTTCTAAAAAAGAGAAAAAAAAATTATCATGTATATGTATTTTTATATGTAAATGTGTATATGTATGCATTTATTCATGTATGTACTTATATATCTATGTACGTGTACATTTTTGTTTATATATATATATGTTTATGTGTGTATAAATTATGAATGTATGTGTTCATTTTCTTTTGAACTTATATGAGTGTAATTATGTATGTATAATAACCAATTTGTCTGCACGTTTTATAAAGTTGAAGGACGGACATAAAGAACTTTTATGAGGAGCCAAAATAGGAAGTATTTATCAAATGAATTATGAAATAAAAACGACAGAATTGAATATTGCATAGATTTTGAATTTAATGTTTAGTTCAGTTCAAACAGACGCCTTTGAAGAACTAGAAAAAAATTTTAAATAAAAAAAGATGCAGTTTTGTTATTCATAAAGTCTATTTATTTGATGTCTTGGTGTTACCACATTTGCGGTTTGCACCAAAGCGGTTTTTTGTGATCAGTCAATAAAAAGCGATAAACAATTGTATTGAATCTCACGTGAATTTTTTTGCAAAAATCGACTCACAAAAAATCCTATGCTGGCTAATCGATATCACAAAAAACTCCATCGCACTTAACTAACCTAAATATTGCAATGTCAATATTAACCGCCTAATCCGCCTTACCGCCTAATCCGCCAGTGCTTCATCTATTTACAAAAGAATCCAATTTTGTATACAATATATATATAAAATTTTGAAATACAAAATAGAAAAAAATTTGTAAAATAAAAGAAAAAATTAAAACTTTAAAAGTTGAAGTGAGCAAAATTTGATTCCTACAAGTACCTGGCCCACCATAAACATCCCAAAAAAATGTTTATTTTCATATCTTAGAGGTTTTCTTAACTAAAGAATACAAAAACTTAAGAACCTCACAGTCTATAAGTTTTCGTATTCTTTATTCATCATTTTGTTGATATATTCATGACCGATATAAAAACTATATATTAAATGGCCGTATCAATTGCTACGTATCGATTTGTTTGTGACGTATCGATTACATGGCTGTATTTATTAACTATATTTCTAAAAATAAAGTTCATAAATACGGTCAAACAAAATTATTTAAGCATTATTTATCTTTATTTATTTACACTTTTGCCAATGAAAAAATATTTACAGTCGTAACCAGAGTCGTTAACAAGGCCAAAAGTAGCAAGGC